GTGGGATCGAGCCCCATATCGGGCTCTCTGCTCAGCAGGGAGCCTGCTTCCCTTCCTCTCTGTCTGCCTCTCTGTCTGCCTCTCTGCCTACTTGTGATCTCTGTCTGTCAAATAAACAAAAATCTTAAAAAAAAAAAAAGAGTCACTTATGGTTTGTCTCCCTCCCAATCCCATCTTGTTTCATTTATTCTTCTCCTACCCCCTTAACCCCCCATGTTACATCTCCACTTCCTCATATCAGGGAGATCATATGATAGTTGTCTTTCTCCGATTGACTTATTTCGCTAAGCATGATACCTTCTAGTTCCATCCACGTCGTTGCAAACGGCAAGATTTCATTTCTTTTGATGGCTGCATAGTATTCCATTGTGTATATATACCACATCTTCTTTATCCATTCATCTGTTGATGAACATCTAGGTTCTTTCCATAGTTTGGCTCTTGTAGACATTGCTGCTATAAACATTCGGGTGCACATGCCCCTTCATTCTTCAAGTTTTATCATTTATTTAAATGATATTCCTCAAAGATTGAGTTTTTGAATACATAGAAAATCAGAGTATAATGCAAATATACATTCAGATGACAGATTGACATATATTTTTAAAAATGGGTTTAGTTTTTGGGTCCCCACAGTATAAATCCATCTCCTGCAACCTTGATGTTAGGGGCCAGTTTATGACAAAACTGGGTGGAAATGTGGTGCTTATGTGGAAAATCCACATATAATTCTATGATGTCTTTTGGAGCCTACTACTTTTTTTTTTTAATAATTTTTTATATTTTTATTAACATATAATGTATATTAGTCCCAGGGGTACAGGTCTGTGAATTGCCAGGTTTACACATTTGCTTGAATGACTTTTACAATTTTTTTTTTTTATAGTTTGTTTTCACTGTGTTTTGTTTTGCCTATTGTCTCAGGATGTATAAAAAGGAAGAGGCTGAGGTTCTGATTAGAATTCCTCTAATCAGAGGACTGATTTTCTTTTCTGGTTCTCTAGCCAGGGTTGGTATGTAGTGACCTCAGAGTTCAGATATAAAACCTGACATTTCTATTTACAGTGGCAAATCTGAGCCAGGGTTGAGGATAAAGGAAGCTAATGGCTTCTTTTTGAGAGAGGATCTTAGATGACATGCAACCTGATTTTAGAAAGGTCTTCTCAGGGGTGGCAAGATGCAGCATGTTGTCTGCACAGACCTCAAGGCCCAGGGTTCACCCTTCCTGGGTCATCAAAGGCCTGGCCATCAGTCAACTCCTCACCTCCCTAGGAAGTCTGGTCTCCAGGGCCTCCTTCCCTGGGCACCACACATCAGAGGAATCTCAGCTTTGCGCCTTCTTCAAGGCTGTACTGGTATCATGTTTCACAAACAATTGAATGATGATCCTCTCAACTCTTTAGTGAACACATCCCTGAAATGAAGTGGTGGCAGGGAGGGCCTGGAGGTTCCAAAGCCTCCAAGGACACTTGCAAACCAGCTGTTGCAAGAACATATCTGGGTGAGAGCATACAGGCTCCTGGACTTTGGAGTTCTGCTTGGCACAGGAAGTACCTGGCAGTTTTCCATTTCAGCCGGCATGACCCTGAGTTGTGACCATTGAATGTGGTAATTCAATGAATGGTCTGGTGTTTACTGTGTGTCTTGTGATCTTGCTAGGGCTGAAAGAGTGCATGGCCCTGTTTCTCTGCCCCCTCCTCCAACCTTTCTCCTTCCCACCTCATATTCTAGAATTAAATAGTGGTTGGGACACAGGGAGATAATGCTCCTTTTAAATAAATATGGGATGAAATAAAAAGAGAATTCAAGGAAATGGAAATGGAAAATAAAATGGGTTAGATCCAGTAAATAGACTTGCTGGCTAAAAATGAATTCTGAGTGTGAAGGGCAACAATCCCTAGCTGTAAAGAAAATGAGTTAAGAGAATTTAAAATGTGAAGGTGAATATAACAGATAGAAAAATAATTGTTTTAAAAGAAGAAGATATAACAAATGGATTGAAGGCAATAATAAAAAATATGTTCGAAGAAAATTGTAAAAAATGTCCTGATCTTGTGGCTCTCTCATGTTCTCACTCAGCTGAATCTGGTCTTCAACTACACTGGGGCCCCTGATTCCTCCTAATTTCTTCCAGAGCATCAGTTGCCTCCTATTTTGTCCACGTGGTCCATCATTTCAGCAGCATATTTTTAATAAATGCATATTAATGCTTTATTATAGAAAATTTAAAACATAAACAAAAGTAGGTAGAAAGCATAATGAACCCCATGGACTCATCGACCCATCAATAGCCTTTCTTTTCCCTACTCGTTTTATTTTAAAGCAAATATCAGAAATTATATCATCTTTTTTGTTTGTGTTGTTTTTTTTTTTTAAGACTTATTTATTTATTTTAGTGGGGAGGGGCCGAGGGAGGGAGAGGGAGAGTCTCAAGCAGTCTTCTGGAGTCTGCAGGATGTTTGCTAATGCACACAACTCCCTTCTTTGTCCAGTTCCTGATTAAAACAACAGGCAAAACACAACTCTAAGTACATCCCACTTTCTCCCCTTTTGCCCTCTGAGCTGAAGTAACCAAATGCTGCTACAGCTTTGCAGATTGAAGCCATTAGAAATTCATGACATCAAACCTCAGCTGAGCCTTTCAAGTAGTACTTCAGTCTCTGATTGCCTTTGGAAACATCTCATTCCCATTCTTCACAACAGCCATTTCAAACCTTGACAATTCTAATAATTTTACATACCTGTTTATCCAAATGTACCCTATAATTAAATGGCGAATGCAAACTAAGAGAAAAATGCAGCATTAATGAAGAAGGGTTAACGTTTATAACATATACAAAGCTTTTACCAATCAATAAAAGATCGGTGTCCCAAAGAATAGTAGAAAAGGCACAAGAATCAGCAGTTTGCCAAGGAGAAATTACAAATTGCTGATAAAACATACACCTCCTGAGTTCTAGCAATTAAACAAATGCCAAATAAAAGCAACAGCGAGGTTAACATTTTTATTTTATAAATTTTTTTAAGACTTGAGTGCTTATGTATCTAATTCCAGTTTTACAGAAAGTGTGGGGAAATGAGTACTTGCACACAGTATTATGGGATTGCAAATTGCTACAGCCTCTCGAGAGAATGATTTGGGAACATCTATCAAAAACCTTAAAAATATGTATACCATTTAGCCGAAGTTCCACATTTAGGAATTTATCCTAAGGAAATAACTGGGGATATGGACAGAAATTTTACTATGAGGACAATTGATTTTAGAACTGTTTACATAATAAAAAATCAGAAAAATAGGTGAATATGAATTGAAGTAGAAAAATAGGTGAATATTAATTGAAGTAGAAAGATGTTTATGGTGTGTTTTTAAGTAAATAAAACCATATAGCCTGTGCAGTATAGGGCTATTTATGTTTGTATATTCACATGTATATGTAAGTACATTTTATTGCAAATTATATCTGGATGCTGGGATTTTATGAATGTGTCTGTGTATTTTTAAATTTCTTTTGCTTAGTTGTATGTTTAAATATTCTATACTTCATTGATACCACTTTTGTAATAAATAATGTTATTTTACTGAAATTTAAAATTTAGAATTAGGGCGCCTGGATGGTTCAGTCGGTTAAGTGTCTGCCTTCGGCTCAGGCCATGATCCTGGGGTCCTGGATCAAGCCCTGCATTGGGATCCCTGCTCAGTGGGAAATCTGCTTCTCCCTCTCTTCTACCCCTCCCCCCGCTTATTCTCTCAAATAAATAAGATCTTTAAAAAAATAAAATTTAGAATTATATCCTACATATATTTTACAAATTACCACTCCCTTATT